ACCCCGCGGGGGTGCTGACCATCGCCCTGCCCGTCCCCGTCATCGTCTCCAACTTCAACTACTTCTACCACCGGGAGACAGAAGGTGAGGAGCAAGCCCAGTACATGCACGTGGGGAGCTGCCAGCACCTCTCGTCCAGCGAGGAGATGAGGAAGGCTCGCAGCAATTCCACCCTCAGCAAGTCCGAGTACATGGTGATCGAGGAAGGGGGGATCAACCACAGTGCATTCAAACAGGCTGCCTTTAAGACAGGCAACTGCACAACCACAAACAATCCCAACTGTGTGAACATCAAAAAGATCTTTACGGATGTTTAAAAGAAACAAAAAAAACCAAACGAACGGCAACAAGACCTGAGGATGCAGTAAAAATAACAATAATGAATAATAACACTACTAATGCAAAGTGACTGTGTACTCGGTGTTGTGTGGAACATGCACCATCGTCGGTCTGTCTGCGCCCTCGGTTTTATACCTTTATTTTTTTAGATCCTTCCTTTCTAAAGATTCCCCCCCCCCAAAAAAAAAAAGGATTTAAAATGCTCCGGAGAAGACGGCGAAAGGGTGGAGAGGAGGAAGATGGAGACAAAACACTCCCTGATGAAACAGGTGTTTGTTCTGCAACGTGTGGCAGGGCTGCTTTTGTTTCCTTGGGTTTGGGGACCTCTCGCTTTGCTCCCCAATCTCCCCCCCCCTTCCCCAAAGGCAGTGTGTGGCCGATTTCCCTTCCATCACATAAACCCACTTGTTGGATTAACAGCCCCGGATTGGGTGGGGAGAGGAGGAAAAACATGTTGCAGAGAGTGCTGGAAGGGGGGGTTGGGAGGAAACGAGCATTTAATTTTGCAGACAGTCTCTGTTACCACATTGTTAAATGATGCTTCAGGTCGAACCATGTGGTGTGCCAGCGCGGGCACAGGTTCCCCTTGCCCCCCATCAGATCGTTTATGAGACTCCAGTCTGGTTAGAGACTGGATGTGATCAATGCTGATTTAAATAGGGGGAAAAAAAACCCCCAACCCTATTTTTTTTATAGCCTTAATTCCCTTCCCCTGTGACCCTATGGCATTATTTCCTCCACGGTTTGGGGCTGTGTGGGGAAGGGGGAGGCGAAGGGCAGAATGGAGCCGTTTTGGGAGCCGGGGTGCGCGGGGAGCGGTGCCGGCATGGACCTGGGGATGCAGGACCTGAGATGGGCTCCTGGCCGTGGCTCTGCACCCTCAGACCCGCCCAGCTGGAGACAAAGGGGAGCCTTCCTTGGGATTTTTTTTTGTGTGTGTGTGTGTTCGGGAGAGATGCAGCCACTTATCACAAGAAGATTAAAGCGGCGAACACGCCTTCCAGCGGAAGTCACCGATTCGGACCGGAGCGATGCAGTTGCCATGGCGACCCTGGTTTCCTGGGAAACCCCCAAAGGTTGTCATGGCATCCCTTCTCCCATCCCCCTTGGTCCTCGCTCTTCCCAAAAAACAAAACAAAACAAAACAAAACAAAAACCTTTCCAGATGGTTCCAGCCCCGACCACCCGCAGGACACCGCAGGGGACCCATCCTGGCACCCAGGGCCACGTCCCCCCTGTGCCATCCCCCGGTGCCCAGCGCCCGTAGGCAACAAGCACACCCCAAACCCACCTCTCCCTCATGGAGGAGCTCACACCTTGGCGTTGAAATTTGGGGATGGAGGCTCAGCCCGCACACAGGAGCGTCTGCTCCGTCGAGAACGACCCCGCGCTCCCCCTGCCACCCCCAAAGCTGGCGGCTCCCCCAGACCCAGCAGGAGACCCCGGCAGCTTTTGGAAACAAGGGGGATACAGCTGTAAAGAGCAGGAGTGAAAAGTCACCAAAACCCTGCTGGAAAAAGACACCACCTTCGTCCTTCTGCGTGCTCCAGGGGCCCCGGGACATCCGATGGGATCAGGTGAGCTCCGCACGGGGTAGAGTTTAATCACATCATAATTTGGGGCCAGAATCCCATTTGGAGGGCCAAGCCTCGTGTTTTCTGCTGCTGAGGTGTAGTTTTCTAAGCTAAAACTCAGCTCTCAGCTATTTTTGTGCACTTCAGGGACAGCAGAATAACACCCGGTAGCTCCTCTGCTTATATTTGCTTTTCACTTGGCTTTTTCATTCTGTGCATAGGACAACCCTGCTGCCTTTTTTATTTTTTTAGCTGGATTTCTTCAATTCTTTGCTAAAAAGGTTATTTGCAGTGGTTTAATGCTTCTGTCCAAGCCAAACCATCGAGGCAGGCTGAAGGCAGGGCCTGGCTGCTCAGCCTCAAGCGCCCTGGCTCCAGCTCTGCTTTGTTTTGCTGGGTTTGGAGATAAATCAAACCAGATTCCTTCAAGGTCGTGAACTGCCCAGGGATGCTTTTAAATACCCCCTACGACAAAGAGAGATTTGCCCCCAGCCTGCCCAGGTCAAACCTTTCCTGAGTGTGTGGAGAGGGGGATTTGCCCCATGCTGAAATTGGAGTGTAGCTGGGATTTTACCCTGACTGAAAAGGCTCAGGACAATTTGTAACCCTCCCCTCAGCCCCAGTCAATAGAACCCTTTTAATCAAGAAAAACATCACAACAGCTTCTTGGCTCAAGGCATGCGACAGCTTCATTGGAGCTCCCAACGGTGACATTGGAGTGTCACCAGCTGAGGAGCTGCCAAATGATCTTTATTAGGGGGCTGCAGGTGACAAACCTTGTCCCAGGCAACTGGGATCCCTTGTCTGGGATAACTGGGAACCCCCCAGCGTGCCTTTTCCCCAGCAGGCTGCAGTGTCATTCCTGCCTACGAGCTCTCCCTTTTTATCAGTCTTAAAACTTTCCCTCACGCCTGTTCCTAAAAGAAGGATTTGGGTTTAAAAGCAGTGGAAACAGTCCCACCCGGGGAGGCTGTGGAGGAGTTTTGTGTCGCCGTTATCCCCGTGGCAGCTGCACGGGGCACGGAAACCACACGTCCTCCTGGAAATGGCACAGCACCATTTTCGGTTTCTCTGTTGTCTAAAATAAGCAGAGAGCTTGCAGGTCGTTGGTTTGCTTTCCTGACTGCTCCCTGCCTTGGTTGGTAGGGGCTGAATAGTTTCAAATAGATTTTGATGACGGTAAAAGATGCTTTTAGCAGGATCTGTTGCAGCAGGACAAAGGGGGAAGGGTTTGAAACTGAAAGAGGGAGATTGAGACTAGAGAGAAGGAAGAAATTGTTGCTGCTGAGGGTGTTGAGCCCCTGGCCCAGGCTGCCCAGAGAGGTGGTCACTGCCCCATCCCTGGAACCATCCCAGGGGAGGTTGGCCGGGGCTCTGAGCACCCTGCTCTAGCTGGGGATGTCCCTGATCAGGGCCGGGGGTTGGGCTGGATGAGCTGTAAAGGTCCCTTCCCACCCAAACCAGGCTGTGACTCTGTGCCGTGTGGGAGAGGTGGAGAGGAAACCACTTCATCCAGTCCCGAATGGTATTGCTGAAAAACACCAAAGCCCTGCTGCTCTGCCTTTAAGAGACATCTAAAAAACTGTCAGTGGGAAACCAGGGATATCCTTTCAGTGCTCTGCCCCTTTTCTCTCTGCCTCTCCCCTCCGTGCTGTCTCGTTGGGTGCTGCTCAGAGAGAGGAACCCTCCCTGCTACCGCACGCTCTGGCGGCTTCTCCTCTCCTGGCTGCCACACGTTGTGCCAGGAACTGGAGAGATCCCCCAGCGACTGCTCTCTTTGCAGCCAGCTGCTGATTTAACTTCCTTTCCTCTCTTGCAATGTGCCTCTTATTAGGACTTAGGACTATTCTAACAGTCCCCGGGGAGTTAAAGATGAGCCTCAGCCTTTGCCGCGCGTTGGACTCGACTGCTCCTAATGTGCTTAGAGGAGGCAGCATGAGGGGATTAGCATTAGCAGAGCTGCCTGCTGCCTGGCTGCCTGCTGTGGAGCCTTCCAAGGCGAGGCGAAGGGCTTGCCTAGGCTCAGCTTATTGCATTAAAGAGAGGAAAGTGCATTACTGAAAGCTGCTGGCTGACATTTAAGATCGCACAGAAAGGGAGCAGGGGAAAGGCTCCATCCCGAGGGGGTGCCTGGTGTGGACTCCCCCCCAGCTTGTGGACGACGTGTGTGGCGTGGCAGGGATGCTCTCTGAGATGTCCTCCTCCTCCTCCTCACCTGTCCTTTGTACCTGTCATCTGGGAGACAACGTGCCACTGCTGGCAGAAGGGTGGGAGCAGGGCTGGGAGCAGGCAGCTCCTGCCCCGGGGATGCCATCCTGGGAGACCGTAGCTGCCTCCCCAGATGCTTTATATGTTCTGCTGATGTAGGGGCACTGGGTGATGCAGAGCCTTGTACAGCCTCCTGCCTCCTTTCCTGGGTTTTTTTCCCTCTGCTTGTATTTTAGGACCTGTTCCCTTCCCCTGTTTCAGCCCTGGATGCCACCTCAAAACCCATCCTTGGTAGAGGGGGAGCAGGGGACAGGCAGCAACCCTAACCCTGGTCCCTCCACTTGGTACTTTGATACCATCACCTTTTTCTCCTGCTTATTTGCCCCTTTTTTGGGGGTGTGTTTTCAGGCCTGAGCTCTCCTGAAAACGTTCTGTTGTTCTCCAGCACAATAGATGCCCTTCAGGTGCTTGGGGTGGCCGGAGGAGCAGCTCAGTATCCATCCCACCCCACGTGTGGACACAAACAAGGGCTGGAGGTATCTCTTTCCTCCAGGAGGGTTAAATTTCTTCCCAGGTAATTGTTCCTGCTCTATCACTTGACAAAAGAATCAGGTTTTGTTTTTAACCCCCGTTTAGGGACAGTTAAGCAGAGGCAAAGGGTGGACAAGGAGCTTCTCCAGCAGAAGGGAAGGAGGCAATCTGGAGCTCATGGCTGGGAAGGACTCAGTCCTGGCAGGGCTGTAGTGCAGGGTGAGGGTCTCTTGCAGTGCTTGGTATGCAGGGAGAGCATTCTGCAGAGAATCTGTTTCATTGTGTAGTTTGGAGCCCTCTTCCTGCCAAGCTTTTAAAATATGCATATCTTGGTGAGAGCACAGGGAGGTTCCCATCGCAGCCTGATGCAAGGCAGGGCCTTTGTGTTGCATTTTGAGGTGCTCTAGCCAGTGATTTTGGGGCAGGCTGCAAACCTGCCAGTGCAGAGAGACAAATAGGATTCAGATGTGACTCCTTGTGCCCTTCGGCCTCGAGGGCTTCGTGTACCAGGAAGGAGATCTCAGAGCACCAGCACCCTCGTGCAAAGGCACTCGTGTGGGTGATGGGGGCAGGGAGCAGGGACGTTCTGTAGGTTCCCATCCCTGCTGGGCATCCCTTCTCTAGCAGGTTTTGGCTTCACACACATGGGACTGGCATGAGGAGGG